GCAGGTGAGAAAGTCGGAGCAGACGAGGATGTCTGAGCAGACAAGGGGCTTGCAGCAGCTGAGGAAGTCAAAGCGGGCAAGGGAGTTGGAGCAGGCAAGTGCGTCAGAGCAGGAGATGGAGTTGGGACAGGCGAGGGGGTCACCGCAGCATGCAAGGGGGTCACAGCAGCTGAGGAAGTTAAGGCAGGTGAGGAAGTTAAATGCAGCAAGGGAGTCAAAACAGGCAAGGAAGTCTGAGCAGGCGAAGAAGTTGAAGCAGGCCAGTGAGTCGGAGCAGGTGAGAGGGTCGCAGCAGCTGAGGAAGTCAAAGGAGGCGAGGGAGTTACATGTAGAGCAGTCAAAGCTCTCGAAGCAGTCAAGGTACACCAGCCAGCTCAGAAAACATGGTAAATACCAACCTTGTGTGAAATTTCTTGTTTTGTGCTTGTTTCGTGTCTTGTTGCAATGAGTTTGAACACAGTGAAAATACAATTTTCCCTTTTAATCATCTGGATTTGGTTTAACTGCAATTTAAAGCCCATTTTCGCAGTGTTAAGTTGGCCAGGTTCACTACAAAAAAGTTTACTGCAGTTTTACAGGTTTTTTTTCCTAAAGCCGTGTTCGCATTGGACCTTTTTTTGTAAATTCTACGGAGACTGTTGTCAACTTCACCAAATCAAGTCCCATCCAGACAGCCGGTAAACTTGCTAAATTGTTAAGTGTCAGACGTAGATTGTCAGTTTATCCCTTCACAGTTTAACAGGGCCCACTGAGCAGTGGAAGACTTCTGCGGTTAGTTTTACCCCCGTGTGGACAGCCATAGCAATGTAAAATGTGCTTTCTGATAACATGTTTCCATCAGCAGGCCATCGATGGGTGATCTCCAGCACACTAGCACCCACAGACATACATGTACATGTTTACCGATGCACAATGCAACGATTGAGGCCTGACTTTCGTTATGCATATTTTAGTGATAACTTAGCCATACTTCCGGGCAATTCCATGGTAACTCACATTACAAATAATGGGTACTCAAAGAGGAAAATGTACCCATATCTCTGCAAGTGTAAGAAGCCACAAGATTCTTTTTTCACCATGGGTAAAGTGGACATAGACCAGCTAACTCAAATGAAAAGGAAAAATAAAGGACAAACACGTTGAGATTCTTAAATCATATAATTTCGGTAACTCGCAATACGAAAAAAGGACATTGTCAATTTTATGAAAGCCTCTTTTGGTGAAGTCTCCTCATATTAGATATTCTTGATGAAAGTTTTGCTACCCCCAAATGATAATGGGTCATGACTTATGAATTAACAATATGAAACAGTGAACTGGTTACGGTAACTGGCATTACATTATGTTCATTCAAACAGCCTGGAACAAATTGATGGCATACACCTATTCTGATGGCTCTGTGTATTGGTTTAGTGCTTTTTAGTCAGGTGGCTTAATGAAATTACTGTTACAGGGTAGTCTTCGCTCAAGAAGTCAGTGATTTATAGTGGATCTTATACTGCATGCTCTTGAGTTAAACCACAGCCCCACATCACTGTCACAAGATGTTGGTGTGAAAAAGTGCCAGCTGAGGTGTGACGCTACACAACAATCCAACTATCCCTCTTAATCACTGATGTCTCGGACAAGACTGACAGGGTGGATAAAGCATAGATGCTAAGCCCTCCCAACTCTGGTTGGCTCCTAGGGAGCTGTGTACACTGCCAAATCTGGTGCTTTATCCACCAAAGTAATGGTAATCTCAGAAGCTATAGCAGAAGATATCTGGAGCAATTGTATTATTGATAAACTTTTAATGGCAAAACGAATCTTGCCCTGGTGCAAATTCATGTAGGGTTAATTTGAGTACCGGTATCACAAGAATCTTATATTTTGCATCACATAACAGTCTAATCAAATTTTGTTCACACTTTTCATCGAATTTTAACCTTGCAAGTTTTGCGATGAAGAATTTTTCCCACCGTACAACAGTCATGCATGAAATTAGGCAATTAAGTTTCATATGGACTGAAGCAGGATGCCAATACGAACATATGCAAATGAAGAAATTTCATGAAGATGTTCAATTGTACCTTTCGTGGGTACTTTTCAGAGAGTTTAATTTTTTGGATACACCTGTATCCTTTCGTGACAGGAAGATGGTACAGTACTGTACATGTAGCACTGACTTGTATAACATGTACGGTACATGCATACTATGAATATTTTTTATCTTTTCTTAAGGACACTGAGATTGGGATTTCAG